TGTCTAAGTGTTAGGTTTTTGTTTGTTTAGCCTATTTAAAAATTTTTAAATTGTGTTTGTGTGAGGAAATGTGGTTTCTTTGGGCTTCTTGGAATTTTTGAGATTTTTCTTCATGGCTTAATGTAAGGTTAGTTGTTTTTTTTTAAAACAAAACATTGTGGGGCCGGGTGCGGTGGCTCGAGCCTATAATCCCAGCACTTTGGGAGGCCGAGGTGGGTGGATCACGAGGTCAAGAGATCGAGACCATCCTCGTCAACATGGTGAAACCCCGTCTCTACTAAAAATACAAAAAATCAGCTGGGCATGGTGGCGCGTGCCTGTAATCCCAGCTACTCAGGAGGCTGAGGCAGGAGAATTGCCTGAACCCAGGAGGCAGAGGTTGTGGTGAGCCGAGATCGTGCCATTGTACTCCAGCCTGGGTAACAAGAGTGAAACTCAGTCTCAAAAAAAAAAAAAAAAAAAAAAAAAAATCTTCATTGTGGTATTCATTTTATTCTTTCTCTGTACCTCTGTCTTCAGAGTGGCTCAAGCATTGTCTGTATTGATCTATAAAGTAACTGCCTAGTAGAAATAGTTAATAAGTAGGCTGAATAAATTAATATTGATCCTTGCAGATTTGAAGAATGTTATATATGTAAAAAAGCCAGGCCAGGTGCCATGGCGCATGCCTGTAATTCCAGCACTTTGGGAAGCTGAGGAGGGCAGGTCGCTTTAACCCAGGAGTTCCAAGACCAGCCAGGACATGGTGAAACTGTCTTTACAAAATAACACAAAAATGAAAAAACAGCAATTAGCTGGGTGTGGTGGCATGTACCCGTAGTCCCAGCTACTCTGGAGGCTGAGGTGTGAGGATCAGTTTAGCCCAGGAGGCCAAGATTGCAGTGAGCTGAGATCATGCGACTGCATTCCAGCTTAGGTGACAGAGTGAGACCCTGTCTCAAAAAATAAAAAGAAAAAGGTAGAATAGAGACCAGACCATTTCCTTTCCTTTGATCCCTCCAAATACCACTATTTCTGATCATACCACACTTCTTTCAACCTCAAAAGCATAGATTTCAATAGTCATAATCTTTGGTTTGACACATTCTCATCATTGGTCCACGCTTTATTAAAATGTATACATTGTCGGGCACGGTGGCTCACGCCTGTAATCCCAGCACTTTGGGAGGCCGAGGCTGGTGGATCACAAGGTCAAGAGATCGAGACCATCCTGGTCAACATGGTGAAACCCCGTCTCTACTAAAAATACAAAAAATTAGCTGGGCGTAGTGGCGCGTGCCTGTAATCCCAGCTACTCAGGAGACTGAGGCAGGAGAATTGCCTGAGCCCAGGAGGTGGAGGTTGCGGTGAGCCAAGATCGCGCCATTGCACTCCAGCCTGGGTAACAAGAGCGAAACTCCATCTCAAAAAAAAAAAAAGTATACATTATAAGCATTTTTTTTTTTTTTTTTTTTGGATATGGAGTCATGCTCTACTGCCCAGGCTGGAGTGCAGTGGCACGATCTTGGCTCACTGCAACCTCCACCTCCTGGTTCAAGTGATTCTCCTGTCTCAGCCTCCCAAGTAGCTGGGATTATAGGTGCGTACCACCATGCCTGGCTATTTTTTGTATTTTTGGTAGAGATGGCAATTTGCCAATATGGCAACTTTGCCATATTGGCCAGGCTGGTCTCAAATTCCTGACCTCAAGTGATCCGCCCTCTCTGCCTCCCCAAGTGTTGGTATTAGAGGCATGAGCCACTGCACCTGGCCCATTATAAGCGTTTTTGAAAACCATCTCAAACAAAAACTGAAACTTTGACAATAACATACATCTAATCATGTGGTTCCCACTTTCCCACCCCTTTTGCTTCACACCATCTGAGCGTTTGAAACTCATGTTTATTATTCCCTTGCTTTCCTTTTATGCAGTTTTATGTATCTGCATGTATTTTTTTAAACTAAAAAAGGTTTTGTGTTGCATGTAATCTTTTAGAGTTTATTCTTTTCATTTCGTTTCAATTTTGGTGGACTATTGATTTTAGGAAATTTTTTCAAAGGTCCTGTGATTTTTCTTTTATTCATCCTTGCAAAGGAGATTGATGTTTGCCCAGGGTTGACATACAATCTAGTGATTTGGGAATCTGTTTGAAATTTTACAGCAATTCCTGGTCAGAATCAAAGGCAGAACAGAAAGCTGTAGGCTGCCATTGTGGGGACCCAGCAGGCTGTTGGACTGAGTGGGGTGCTGTCCTGGTGTTCCTCAGTGGACCTTCATAATCTCCAGTTAAACATTTCTCTCACCACCACATCCAACACTGGCCACTGGGTGTGGCGGCCTCCCATCAGAGCAAGTTGTGGTTGTGTTACTGTGATGCCTCTCCCTGGAAAGAGGCACAGAGGCAGGGAGCATTCCTGTGGCCCCTCAGCTGGCCCCGTCACTCCTTTCTCAGATTAGAACACCCTTCAGAGATCTAGAAAAATTCTTTATTCAGATAGAAGCAATCATAGTAACAGGCCATTCTACCTATTGGATAGCGCTGTTTCTTCGTAAGTCATAAACCTAAGACTAACCCTAATCTGTTTCCTAACTTGTGTTTTAACTCATACCCTGATTCTAACTGCCATGGTCTTTTCTGCAGAATGTGTTCTAGTCCCTACGTCCTAATTTATACCCCAACTTCCATTCAAATCTTTCCCTTTTTCAATTTCATGGACTCTTTGCCCCGAACCTCCAATATTTGTTACTGCCCTCAGCTCCTTTCCTTCCTCCAAATGCCAACCATGAACTGTTCTTCGTTGGCATTCCCACCAAATGCCAACCATGAACTGTCATTTGGTTAGCACTTACTGTAAGCTCATTATGTATCATCTCATCTAGCTGATATCCTACTCTAATGGTAATGTTTTTCCATTTTATAGATAAGAAAACTGAGGCTCAATGAGATGAATTTGGCCAAGGTCCATATCTCTGGTGAAGGATTTGAACCAGTTTTGTTTTTGTTCTTTTCGAGACAGTGTCTCATTCTGTTGCCCTGGCTGGAGTGCAGTGGTGCATTCTCGGCTCATTGTAACCTTCACCTCCTGGGTTCAAGTGATTCTGCCACCTCAGCCTCCTGAGTAGCTGGGACTACAGATGTGCATTACCATGTCTGGCTAATTTTTGTATTTTTAGTAGAGAAGGGGTTTCACTATGTTGGCCAGGCTGGTCTCGAACTCCTGACCTCATGATCCTCTGGCCTTGGCTTCCCAAAGTGCTGGGATTACAGGTGTGAGCCACTACGCTTGGCCATTTTGTTTTTTTTTTAAATTATGATGCCTTTGGCTCTAAGTAAAAGAAAACTTAAAGTGGCCTTAATAATGAAATTTACTATTTCACATAAAAAGGCTGGTTAATTCCATGGCCCTACATTACCTTCAGGACCCTGGCCTTTCTTTTCTACCATCCATCCTTGATGTGTCCAGGCCTTGTCCCCAGGTCAGCTTTCCACAGGGCTTCCAGTTGCCTGCCACCATTTCATCCTCACATTCCCTGAAAGTCTAGGGGCAGGAATGGACATTGTTTCGTGTTGTGCATCTCTGTCTCTCTCACTTGCTCTAATTTGATGTGAATCTTTTTTTCAAGAGCAAAGAAACTTTCCCCAGCAACCTCCCCGGGCCCAGCAGATTTCCCTCATATTATCCCGAATGCCAGAAGCCTGTGTCTAAGCAGTCATGGGGAAGGGGCTTAGACTAATCCAGGCTCATTCCTCCAGGCTGGCAATCCAAGCCCCCCTGATGAAGTTTCTGGCTCCTCGGAAGAAAGGACATGGGGGTCAGGAATAGGTATAAGCTGTGACAGTGTCTGTCACAAAAGCCAAAGTCTGGTTGTTAAGCTTGACACACTGCTGCTATCCCGGGCTCTCCCCTCAGCTCCCACCCTCACTCTAGCATATTTCCTCAGCTGTGAGGTGAGTCTCTCTCAACTCTAAAGGACACATTCCAAGGCTGTCCTTGGCAGAACAGTGAGGACCTACATGAAATGTGCCTTGGGGCCCAGTGCTCTTGTGCAATTCCCCTGGGATGTCAGTGCTGCCCTTGGTCAGCACAGGCACATCACTGGAGGTGGGGAGAGGAACAGAGCTCTGCCTCAGGAAGGTTGGCCGTGAGCCCTCAGCTTGGCCCTGACCCAGCCCCAGAACTGTCTTTTGTTTTGTTTTGTTTTTGAGATGGGGTCTGGCTGTGTTGTCCAGGTTGAACTGAAACTCCTGGGCCCAAGAGATCCTCACGACTCAGCCTCCCCAGTACCTGGATGTGAGCACAGCTGTACCCGGCCCAGAGCTGGGTTTTAATCATGTTCCCCCTCCTCTGAGAGCTCATCTTCCTGGTCTGTACTTTTTCTTCTCTTAGAATTGAAATCACTTTTTTAAACAAATTCTCACTTGCCTCCTAGTCTAACCACCCCTCCCCACCAACTTTATCCTGTTTCCTTCTCTCAATCCCCCACAGCTTTTCTGGCTCCCGTGGGGTGCACACTTGGCCACTGTGGCCAGAGCCTAGCAGAGCGTGGCTCATTTTGTTGAATGGATGATTCTGATTATAGCAGGTATTCAGTAAGCCACTTTTGTTAATTTGAAAATAAATGATGTTACTCCCTAGAGGTGTCTAGATTCCTTTTTATCCCCCATCACCTGTCTTCTTTCACCTCCCCTCTGGGCCCTGGCTTTCCTCAGACCCTCTTTCTCCAGGTCTCCCATTCCTTTGATGAAGACTCATGAGGAGCACAGTGTCCAGATCTCAGGCAGGCACTCAGGCAGGGAGTCACCGAGACAGAGCTCAGTGGCCTGAATGGTTTCTGCTGTCTCATCTCCCACTTCCCACCTCAGGGCTTCCCGCGGTTCGGGCCCTGCCCTGCAAGGCAGGACCACCTTTGTCCTGGACAGACAGACCCGCTAGCCTCTGCTCTACGGTTCTGCCCACCTTGGCCCTGGCTGTCTTCACACGAGTGCCCCCTCCCTTCTTTCCTCCCTGAGCCCCGCCTCCTTCCTCTGGCCCCGCAACCCTGGACACGGTACACACAGACCGGAGCCTTGGCTCAAAGGCAAACAGAAGAAACTGCCTGGCTCCCCATGGCTGTGGCCAGCACCTTCATACCGGGGCTCAACCCTCAGAACCCTCGTTATATCCCGGGGTAAGACTCCCACCCAGCATTCCCCACTTGCTGCTGGGAGTAGGGGTGGAGGAATTATGCTGCCTAGAGTATGGGGCCAAGCGGACAGATTGGTTTGGGAGGCTGAGGTCTCTATGGTATTGGATGGAAAAGGAGAAGCAAGGGACTAGTGAGACCCAGGTCTGCCCCAAAGCTTTATGTTGTTCTCACCATGGGAACAGGGTAACAGCAGAAAGGAAGGATTGAAAGCCCAGGCAGAAAACTTAGAAATGCCTGCTGCAAGGCCGGGCGCGGTGGCTCACGCCTATAATCCCAGCACTTTGGGAGGCCGAGGCGGGTGGATCACGAGGTCAAGAGATCGAGACCATCCTGGTCAACATGGTGAAACCCCGTCTCTACTAAAAATACAAAAAAGTTAGCTGGGCATGGTGGCGCATGCCTGTAATCCCAGCTACTCAGGAGGCTGAGGCAGGAGAATTGCCTGAACCCAGGAGGCGGAGGTTGCGGTGAGCCGAGATCGCGCCATTGCACTCCAGCCTGGGTAACAAGAGTGAAACTCCGTCTCAAAAAAAAAAAAAAAAAAAAAAGAAATGCCTGCTGCAAATATATACACAGCTGAGTCCAGAAAGATCAGGGCTTCAGATGTCTCTGCTTCTGCCTCTGGGGAGTGGTGGGCCAGGGGGATTCTGGTGAGTGGGTGAATCTGTGCTGCAGGTACACTGGACACTGCCCACTACTTCGGTTCAGCATGGGCCAGACCTATGGGCAGGCGACTGGTCAGCTACTTCGAGGCCCTCCTGGCCTAACCTGGCCCCCAGTCCACCGCACACTTCTGCCTCCCATTCGGCCTCCAAGATCAACTGAGTTTCCCAGGGGGAGCCTGCCTCTCAGGCGTGGGCACAAAAGGCTCAGCTCCAGCATGATCCCTGGGTACACAGGTTTGTACACAGGTATGCACAGGTACCCTCTCCCAGGAGCGTATGTCCCAAACACTAATGAGTCTTCCTTGTCTCCTTCCCCTGCCCAGGTTTTGTACCCCGGGCACGGTTCATCTTTGCCAAGAACTGCAGCCAGGTCTGGGCCGAGGCTCTGAGTGACTTTACTCACTTGCATGGAAAGCAAGGGAGTGAAGAGCTGCCAAAGGAGGCCAAGGGAGAAAAGGACACAGAGAATAACCAAGGGCCAGAGCCAGAGGGACAGCTGGAGGAGGAGCCAGCGCTGGAGGCGGCAGAACAAGTGAGACCAAGAAGCTGATGGGCAATGTGTAGGGGTGGGGGTGGGGGCCTTATTGTGTGTCTGGGCCAGGGGGCAGCCATGAGTAGAGTAGGCCAGGGCGCCCTACTCATGGGGCAGCCATGAGTAGGCCATGAACCCTGTGGGTTCAGGGGATATGTGTTTGACTGTTAGCTCCACCTCCCTAGGAGCTTGTGTGAGAGCACAGGGGATTCTCTCATAGGCTTCTCCCTACTCCATGGATGACAGGGACCCTCGGAAGTTCTTCATGTCAGGTGAGAGCCAAGGGGGGTCAGGATCAGAGGCGTGGTAAGGCCCCAGGATGTGTTGGCTCAGTGTCCCCATCCCCAGGCTTCACCGGCTACGTGCCCCGTGCCCGCTTCCTCTTCGGCTCCAGCTTTCCTGTGCTCACCAACCAGGCACTGCAGGAATTTGGGCAGAAGCACTCACCAGGCAGCGCCCAGAAACACCCCAAACATCTCCCCCCACTTCCCAGGACATACCCACAGAACCTGGGTCTTTTACCAAACTATGGGGGCTACGTGCCAGGTGAGACAATCCCCCAGGGAGGCTTTGGGGACTAGAATGTTCATATAGGTATTGGGTAGGTGGGGTGGTTGGAACTAATAGATATAGGAGGGCTCAGATCATGTGGTTCAGCTTTATCATTAGGCAGAAAAGGAAACTGAGGTAGCTACCCACATGGAGAGTTAGGACCAGATTTTTGAGGGCTGTTTGGATGTATAGCCAGCTGGCTGAGAATGAAATGGCTTTGCCATGCTGCTGGCTACATGTGACAGACTCTCTTGGCCACACAGGGTATAAGTTCCAGTATGGCCACACATTTGGGCATCTCACTCATGATGCTCTGGGCCTTGGCACCTTCCAGAAGCAGCTCTTGGCTTAGGCCCCTGGACATCAAGTTTTCCCTTCCCTTTTCATCTATCCCAGCCATCCTTTTGGAAGGAAGAAAGGTAGAAGGGAGGGTGGGGGAAGCAGGAAGAGAAAATGGTCTGGAGGCTGAGCACCTTTTTTATTAATAGGTATAATAAATAAATAAATACATACATAAACAGACACCTGGGCTCCTCCTCCCTCTTCTGATGACCAGGCACTGGCTACAGCCTATTTACAGCTGGGGGGCTTAGGGAATCTGGCCCCAATACTGTTACCCATCCTCATCTCCACCTGGCCTAGGGAACCCTGCAGATGGCTTTCTGGGCCACCTGCCTCCATGAGACTTGCTTGTCTACACCCATGGAAGGGCTGGCCCAGACGGGCCAGGGGAATCCTGGCAGCCCAGTGCTGCATCCCGTCCCTCCTTTCCTGGGTGGAGGTCTGGACGAGGTCACTGGGACAGATAAGGGGGCGTAATTAATACTGAGCACAGGGAGCAGGTGCCAGCATAGGGATACATGGCCCCAGCTCCCAGTTTACTCTCTGTACCCAAGCCAAGGGCTTGGGAAGGGCTCTTGGGCTCTGAGTCTGGGGGTTATGAGGGTCCCTGAGGCCACCAGCATGCACAAGGCCTCAGTTTTGGCTGCTTCCAGGGGTCAGACTTGGAGTTGGGGTCAATGTCACGTAGGCCAGGGGCACCAGGCCAGAGTCAGGGCCACGGCTACAGCGCAGCCAGTCTCCTCCAGCTCGCCCCAGCACTCGAAGGATGTCTCCTTTGTGGAAGCTCAGCTGTCCAGGGCCGGTGGCCAAGTGGTGGCACAGTGCCTGCACCTCGCTGGGGACAGAGCACATGGTCAGAGAAACCCCATCAAAAGCCAACCCCAGCCACCCAGCCCTTCCATTTCCCCAGACTCACCACGGAGGACTGGAGGGCAGGGCTGGAGAGTGTGGCTCCTGCAGGCTGTCCTTGGACTCTGGCTCCCGGCGGGCACCCATTGTCTGTGCCACCAGTTGGAACATGGACTTGTCCAGGCTCAGCCAGTCCGAGGGGAGTCTAGGGGATAGCAGCCGGGCTCAGGCTCTGCCCAGGCTGGGCTGTGTCTGTGCCCCGGCTTAGAGCAGGCTCCCTCCCTCCATACCTACCTTGGGCAGGCTCTCACCTGTTTGCAGGCCGGGCCTCCCGCTGGGCTTTTCGGGAGCCAAAGAGGTGTCCCCACTTGATGCCTCCAGGTGAAGCCTCTGAGGCCCCTTCCTCATTTTCTGCTGGTGGCGCAGCGGGCCCTTCCCTCTCCCGACTACGCCTCAGCTCAGCCAGCACAGAGTCAGGGGGGCTCCCCATCCAGAAGGGCCAGCCCCTTTCCCGGCCCAGGGCCTCCTCAGGGGCAGGGCAGGCCTCAGCCCCCTCTACTACTCCTTCTCGGGGCGGTGGAGCCTGGGGAGGCCCCCCGCCTCCTACCCCTTTCTTTTTCTCACTGCTGCTATTGCTGCTGCCACGAGGGAATCTGGAACCCTCAGTGGAGCCATCAATGTAGACCTGGGAGCTCTGCATGAGCTGGTACCACCAGCCGGCATGCCCGCCTTGGGCCCACCTGCCACGCCCTGAGCCCCCAGCTGCCTCTGCCACCTCTTCTGGCTCCTCCTCTTCCTCTTCTCCACCTTCTGAAGCACCCACACCCTTCACCCGCTCCCCCTGGGCTGCCCTGTCCACATCTCCAGGGCCCTCCTGGCCCCGGGCCCGGGCCAACTGCAGTGTGGAGTGGGCAGACAGCAGCAGGTCCTGGGACACCCGCAGCAGTTCCTTGTGCTGCCGCTGCTGCTGCCCACTTTGCAGCAGCCGGTGCTGGAACAGTAAGTCGAGGCTGAAAGGCAGCAGGGCTAGGGGCTGTAGCAGCAGCAGCAGCTCTTCAAAGAGGCCAGGGCACACAGTATGAGCTGCACTCAGGAAGCCCCAGGGCTGGTAGTGGGTCTGGATGATGTCTAGGGGAAAAGAGAAAGGGACTGATCCACACAAAAGCAGAGCCTGGCCTGAGTGGGGCTTTGAAAGACAGCCTGGGCAGAGCTGCTGCATACAGTGGCACAGGCCGTGCACTAGGCAATTTGCACGTACTACAGTGTAAATGCTGCTGTCTGCAGCTGTGCAATGCCTGAACTCTCCAACCCCAGGCGGTGGCCCTGACTTTAAAGGAGTAAGATGCTGGGATTCAAGGCCATGCAGGACTACTTGGTGGATGGTCCTGGGAGGAAGCCAGGGTTGCAGGTCACCTGACTTCCAGATTGCTGGAGTATCCTGCTGGCTCCAAGGCTTGTTTTTTGTTTTGTTTTTTTTTTTGAGACCAAGTCTTGCTCTGTTGCCCAGGCTGGAGTGCAATGGCACAATCTCAGCTCACTGCAACTTCTATCTCCTAGGTTCAAGCAATTCTTGTGCCTCAGCCTCCCAAGTAGCTGGGACTACAAGCATGCATCCCCACACCCAGCTATTTTAGTATTTTTAGTAGAGACAGGGTTTCACCATGATGCCCAGGCTAGTCTCGAACTCCTGACCTTGAACTTCTACCTCAGCCTCCCAAAGTGCTGGGATTACAGGCATGAGCTACCATGCCCAGCCCAAGGTTTCAACTCAAGCAGAAGCTGGGGAAGGCCTTGGAGGAAGCCCGAGGCTCTGAGGATGAATGCTTGTATGGTTACCCTCCCCATCTCCAGCAATGAAAAGACAGCTTTTCCTTCCTCTTTTGCACCCTCTGAATTCTGACCTGGTTACGTTTGTGCAACAGAGCAGGATTCTGGGCATTACCTTCGTGGTTATAGAGGTGATTAAACCAGAACTCCAGGGACCGGATGCTGTAGGGAGACAGGTGAAGAAAGTTGAGTCTTCTGTGAATAGAGCCAAATGAAGAGGCAGATCCAGGGGGCTCAAGCATGGGAAGAATAGCTGAACTCTCCCTTCCATGGCAGGATTCATTTCACCTAATTCCCGAGAGTCAGTGGGCATGTGATTTATAAGCCAATTGCTTCCTCCTGGAGTGGAGTCAGCCTGCAGTAGACCTAAGAAATCAAGGCAGCTACTGTGTGAAAGTACAGGCAACTCAGGGCCAAAGGGGATGGCCCGGGCCTGTACCTGCAAAAGCATGTTACTAGGATGTGTGTCCCAAGGTGGACTTAGGGTCAAGCAGGATTTGGAAGTAGTGCTGGAATGGAGAGGATGAGGGGTTAGATCAGGGTTTACAAGGTCCAGAGAACTTGAGACACCCAAATAATTTTCAAATAAGCCAGATGACATATTTGTAAGAGCAGAAGACCACATTGGTGACCAGTGTCAGTCATGGGCACAGTGGGAAAGCAGTGACCTACTGAGACGCAATCGCTGGCTGGGGGACAGTGAGCCTGTGTGCTGGCCAAGACCCTGCAGATCCACCCATTGTGTCTCAGTCCAACAAGTTGTTTTCTCAGTGCAGGCAGAGCCTGGGGAGTGGGGCAGGTTGTTGAGGGGATCTTGCTGTTCTGTGTACTCACTTGAGCAGGCCGAGGATGAAGGCGTTGAAGCGCATAGTATGACTGGTGAGCTCTGGGAATTGGCTGACTTTGTTGTAGAGGCCATGCAGGACCTTGGTGGATGGGCCTGGGAGGAAGCCAGGTTGCAGGTCACATGACCAATTTCTGGAACCCTAAACTCAGCCCAGGGTCCCCATCTTGCCACCCAGCACCTACCTAGCTGTGTGGAAGCCTCAACCACACTCCATGGCATGTTCTTACGCTGCCCAATGATAACGTCCAGTACAAAGGCCTTGAGCCCATCCTCCAGCACGGCTCGGACAGCAGGGCACAAGTACTTCAGAACCAGGTGACCCACATTGGGGCTCACAGAACTGTTTCCCAGCTTTGCCTGCGGGTGCAGTAGGGAAGTGCAGAAAACCCCCTCAGGCCTGCCCGTGGTCCTCTTGTAGCAGGCCCTCATGGTTCCCCTCTTGCTATCCCCATTCCTAAGTGCCCAACCCTGGGCTCTAAATGCAAGACAGCAAGGGAAGGTGGTGGCGCAGGACAGGCGAGGTCTTGCAGAACTCGGCTCTCCACATTTCCTTGCCTACCTTCACCCCGGGATCCCGGCTTGTGCCAAAATGGGCCACAATGAGGTCCACAGCGGTGTTAACAGCTTTTACCAGCCCTGCAAGAAAGAATGTCATGTGACAGGTCCCTGAGAAAGTCCTTAGCCAACTCAGCTGGGGCTGAAACCTCAGTGGGGGTGGGAAAGTGCTCCCACACTTACTCAGTCTCCACACCTGCATGTGGGTCTCTGTAAAACCTTCAGGCTTGGCCCTTTTCTGGGTCTGCCCAGTTCTTAAGCACTTCCTGTCTTTACTTCCCAGCCCGGTGCCACCTCAATGACGCCTTTGTTAAGTCTCTCAATGTCCTCACCTCTTAGCCCTCTTATTCCAATCCTGAGTCAGTCTACCTATCAGTTTTCTCCATTCTGAGAAACCAGGCCACTGACCTGAAGAAAACCCAAGTCCCTCACACCAGTGCCAGACAAGGGCGATTCCTTGATATGTGCTTCATCAGCACGCTCTGCCACACCCTCAAACTGCCATGCGAAATCTATACCCCTCCTCTCAAGCCCTTGGTTCTGCTATAGAGAAGAGGCCCCTAGTCATAAACTCCTTTAACTTCCCTCTGCCTCCAAAATCTGTAACAGTCCTGTATGTACACCCCTCGCTCCCTTGTTCACTTGCATCCCCTTCACATCCTGGAGGAAGGTGGCTGTTCCCCTTCTTGCCCGGTTCTCCTTTCTCCCTGACTTCCGATTCTCCCTTTCTGCTTTCGCAGGGAACTTCAGCTGTCTCTCTCCCTCTTCACAGACTCCTCTTCGGCCCACAATTACACTCAGTACTCTCCAGTTCCCTAAAAATCTTAGTTCAGTGGTCACTTATTTGCTAAATAGAGTGGTTCTTTTAATTCCTCATCTTACTAGATATCACCAACATGCTTACCCAAGCTGCTGGGCCCTCTAGTACCTTCACCCGCCCCTCTAAGGACACTGAGGCATTTTTTTTAATGACATCTAAGCCTCCTTATTAGACTTTGCTCACTATGGAAAGGGACTGGAGCCTGACTCTTAAAGTCTCTGATGAAAGACCCTTGCTCACTCACACGCACTCAGGATACACAGCACACAGCTTCCCCCTCTGGC